CCCCCCCCCCATGCCCCCCCCCCTCCCCCGCGGCTCCCGCTCCCACACCCTAAACCCTAAACCCTAACCCTAAACCCTAAACCCTAAACCCTAAACCCTAAACCCTAAACCCAGCGGCAGGATCAGGTTGAAGGTCTTGGCCAGGATGATCGTGATGAGACCAGGAATTGCCGACCACGCCTCGGCACCCCGATTGGGCTTTCATGTTTCGTCTTTTCTTTGGGTTTAGGGTTTAGGGTTTAGGGTTTAGGGTTTAGGGTTTAGGGTTTAGGGTTTAGGGTATAGGGTATAGGGTTTAGGGTTTAGGGTTTAGGGTTTAGGGTTTAGGGTTTCAGGTTGAGGGCTTAGGGGGCTTAGGGGTTTCTGGGGCGGGCACTGGGGCTATATTCGGGGTTTTGGAGCTTCAGGGATTCGGGGTTTGCTGGCTAAATCCACACCTTGGACGTCTGACCGGTTCATTGCATTGCCTCTATGGGTAGCTCTCTAGATTAGGGTCCTTTTTGGGGTCCTATATATGATACAGTACCATTGAAAATAACGACCCCCAAAGAAACCCGAACTTACCCCTATTCCTTGCTGAAGATTCTGTGGTGTTGCCGAGTTCCTGCAGTTCGACATGACGCCGACTTTTTGCTGATCGTACTCGGTTTTTTCAAACGAAACAACACATCTTGACTACAGCGAGCATGGAGCTGTCTGACGTGAAGTTGTCCCAGATATGCGTGCACCATGCAGTGTCACGGTTCTGTAGTGTATGGTAGATTGGTGCTCTGCTTTTGGGGAAGTCCCCCATCCTGGGTTGTTTTGCGTTGTGGGTTTTGTGTTTTGTTGGGGAGGGGGCGGGGGGGAACTCAACCCTGTTTAGCCACTGGAACCTGCATGCGTCTAGTTGTGGAGCATTCGCGAGCGTGGACATTGGCTGCATGTTAGAGCTGGTGGTGCTGGACATCTGCCAGCCAAATAACTAATTCCAAACCCTAAACCCTAAACCCCAAACACTGAAGCCCAGACCCTGGACATGGTGCAATGCATCCAGCTGCACAAGCAACGCTCTCAACTTTTCCACACGCCAGCTACAGTAGCAGCCACTTTGGGGTTCTCCTGGCGTAGTCTTCGTAGCCTGAGGAACAGAGCAAGAAACTGCTTGCGGATGGAGGCTTCAGGAGACTAAGCCAAAAAAACAAGAATTGCAAGGGCTTCGTGTTCAGGCTGTGGGGCTTCCCTGCCACAATCCTTCGAGCCCGCCCACCAACTTGTCGCTTTCAAAAGGGTTTAGGGTTTAGGGTTTCGGGATTTGTCATGACCTATTTTCTTCCTTCAGTTGTCAATCCGCTCTTCGGAAGCTCGTGGGCATCGGGTTTCTGGTATAGTTTGAGATTCCGGCCCTAAACCGTAAACCTCCCTAAGCCGTAGCCGTTGTGGAAGCGGCCTCAAAGTGAAACCCTGGGCATGGATCTGGGGTTTAGGGTTTAGGGTTTAGGGTTTAGGGCTTAGGGTTTAGGTGTTTAGGCATATTTCGGGTTTAGGGGGTTAGGCAATTGGATATTGACCGTGCCCCAATCTTCACAGCAAGAGAACTGACCACATACTGTCGGGAAACCTGAAAGCGTTGGGCTCTTCCGTGACACAAGGAGGGGCCCCCTTACTATACTAACTGTCGTTAAGGGACTTATAACCTACGGCCCAGGAGTGTGTTAAGAAATTTTATTAATTAAGAAATCTGGACCTGGACCGGCCACACATTTTAAAATCCAGGGCCTCGCGGGCTCGCCCAAAAAAATTCCGCCGAGGAAGTATTAAGTAACGTTCTCTGTCATATTTACCAAGAACCCAAGAAACTGCAAGCCTCAAACCCTCTAATCCCAGGGCTCAGGGCTCAGGGCTCAGGGCTCAGGGCGCAGGGCGCAGGGGCTTAGGGCTTAGGGCGGAAGAGGCCCGGCACAAAAAGTCACCTTTTTTGAGGTGTTTCAGGCCGGAAAGGCCCAAATAAGGTGACTTTTTGTGCCGGGCTCTGCCGGGCTCTTGCGGGGAAGCCTTTAAGGGCTCAGGGCTCAGGGCTCAGGGCTCAGGGCTCAAGGCTCAGGGCTGAGGGCTTCGGGCTTAGGGCTTAGGGCGGAAGAGGCCCGGCACAAAAAGTCACCTTTTTTGAAGTGTTTCAGGCCGGAAAGGCCCAAATAAGGTGACTTTTTGTGCCGGGCCTCTTCCCCGCATTTAGGGTTTCGGGTGCGGAGCTGCAACTGGTATTGTAGAAAAGAGTTAGTGTTGAGAGTTGGAAGGGTTAATGAACCCGGATAACATGTTTGGCTCAAGATGGGCTTGGACAGAAAGCCACAAGTTCAAAAAGTAGTGCCTGGGTTCTTAGGGTTTGGTAAGGGTGTGGATTCCTTCCCCCTTTCCTTCCCCCCTGGGTTGCTCTTATCCGTGTTCTCGTTTGTTTCTTGGTTCGATCTGGGGAATATAGGTTCAGGGCGATTAGGGGAGTTGGTTTCCTTCCCTGGTTGTCCCCCCGTAGGTTATGAGCCCAAATTAGGTTCCCTGCGGTTAAGTGTTCTTTCAAGGTTTTTGGGATTAAGAAGCAATGCCTTCTCCCAAACGATGGCTCCAGCCTTCCTCGGATGGTGGACAGAATGGTGGAGCTGGAAACGGTGCAGCTGAGTCTCTGGGTGAAAGGACGGTGCTGGAAGAGGTGATGCCTGGCGCTGAAGAACATCTGGAAGAGGCCTTGGTTGCAGAATACTCCAATGTGGGTATAAATCCCAATGTGGATATGGTTAGCAATGCTGAAGCTGAAGGACGTGCTGTTTCTGTATCGCCAAAGCCTGGTGAAAAAAGGAGCTGGGACGCGACTGGTGGTATAGACCGTGAAATGGAGGTGACTGTTTTACGCGTGTTGCACAAACATGGGTACCAGCCGTCTACTTCGACTTCGGGCCGAATGATTGACCAAGGGTCTCAGACCAATCTGAGTGGAGAAGTGCTGCAAGCTGCCAGGAGGCCTCTGAACAAGATTAAAGGGGATCCCTCGGCGAGTTCCCTGGGTGGTGGAAGCGGTTACGAACAGAAGGGTGCGGACAGCTTTGAAGCCGCGCCAACTGCTGAATATGCCATGGGGGAAGAGGAGATCTTACAGATGGAGGCTGAAAGGTTGCGCCAGTTGTCAGAAGAAGAGGATGAGATGCGTCAAGTCTCTGAAAGGGATGGTTTTCGGAAAGATGAGCATCTGATCGAAGCGTGCGATGGGACAACGTGGGAATGGCACTTCCATGAAGATGGGAGACAATATTACTACTGCCTGGATACGCAGGAAAGCAAGTGGACATTGCCGGTTGTAGGTGAAAAGATGAAGAGTGACGAGGTGGTTGGGTCTCCTTCGGGCAATGAGCTGGAAATGGAGGCGGCACTGGGTTCTTCATCCTCTACTCCGAAGACTGAGTCTACGAGGGCGTTCCAGGGTAGTGTAAATAGTGTAGGTGAAAAAGATTTTTCCTCTACTATCAGGGATAGCGGTCCTAGGGCTGGTGGTGACGCCCCGACCTCGGGTTCTCCTGATGAGGAGGGGATTCCTGGAAACCGAGCCGACATCGCTGGAGCTCAACACCTGGATCGGGAAGAAACGGAAGCGCTTTCTGAGGGTGTGGCAGCGGTGGAATCGGTAGGTCCAGAAGAAAAAATTCCCAATGTGGAGATCGGAACTGTGTCGGCTGCAGAAGAGCGAGTGGTGGATGTGGTACCTGTCGTTCAGGAAGGTGGTCCTGGAGATTCGGAAGACGGAGGGAAAAAGTTGTGTGTTGCGACTGAGGAGGTCTCTTCGTTTGGTGCCAAGATTCCTGCCATTCAAGGGGAAAAAGAAGCTTCTGGAATAGCTGGAGACACGGAAGATCTGAAATTGGTAGGAGCGCCTGTAGCGCGCCGTGTGTTTTTGGGCATGGCCAGAATGTGGAATGTGCTGAAACCCAGGCAAAACGCACATGTCTGCTTAAGAATTGCTATGTTGCAGGGGCCGAAAGTGTGTAACAGTGTCTATTTTCGGGCGACCATGACGTTCCCGCCTAGGCAAAAAGCACATTTTGCTGCGGAGTGTCTGAGAAACTTTGTTCAGCTGCATCTGTTGGCAGCTTGGCACAGCTTGGAGAGAGCTGTGAACACATCTGTGTGCATTCGTCGGAACTGAAACTGTCTTATGTACTTCCAGATGCGATCTGCATTCGCTTCGCGATGGCATCCGTCGCTCTTTTTGTTATGCATCCCCTTGGGGATGCTTGCCTTGACATGCATCCAAACACGATCGATCTGTTGTGTTCCGGCTAGGCTCGAAGCCCCTTTGCGTGGCTTGCGGCGCAGAGCACGAGTGAAAATGGACTTGTTATGCTTCACATGAACGAAGGCCATTCGTTTTCCTTGCCGGACTGCTGCGCGATCCCAGGCCATCGCACCATCGGCATAGCACGTTGCCTGTCATTGAGAGGGTGAAGCACGCAAAGCTCAACCGTTCATTGCAAACCTATATTTCTCAACCCTAAACCCTCAACACGGTCCTGACTGCGAATCCGTTTGAGCAGACGTGTGCAGAGAACATCCTCGCAGCTCTCGGGCGGCGGCACGGAGCCAGCAGGAACTAAGCGCAAAGGAGCTGGAACAAAGACACATTTCTGCGTCCCGCGCTGCGTGGCCCCCAGCGCACGCAGGTGCAGAAGGAAGTAGTCCGGCGATGCTTGGTGCGCATGCTTCGCCTGCCACTCTTGCACCAAGTTCGCATATGTCTTTGACCATCTGGAGACCCGCAAGGTGCGCAGACAAGTCCCATCTACTTCGACCGCCTTGTCCAGCATCGTGCGTGCATTGAGCTTCTCACTTGCTGCAGCCTCCAGGCTTCGCACTGCTTCAAGAAACCGTGAAGTTGGCTTGTACGTCGTGCCCAAACTGCGAGCCAAGGCATACGGAGTCGATGCCTGCAACAATCCGTTTGCATGGTTGAGGGCTAAAGGTCTAGGGTCCAAGGCAAAGAAGATTTTCCTAAACCCTAAACCCTAAACCCTACACCGCAAACCCTAAACCCTAGACCCTAAACCCTAAACCGTTTTTCCTAAACCCTACACCGCAAACCCTAAACCCTAAACCCTAAACCCTAAACCGCAAACCTGAAACCTGAAACCTGAAACCTAAACCCTAAACTGTAAACCCTAATTTGATTTGAGGAGGCACGGGGCTTAAGGGATTCGACAGTGGCCAGGCCTGCTTCCCAAAACCGGCAGTGCTCAGGCTTAAAGCTGCCTGCAACTGCATGGGTGTCCAAGGTTGCCTGCTGACATCTGGCAACCAGGAAGCCTCCGGCAGCTGACAAAGTAGAGCGTGCTCTCTGAGGCGGCGTGGTTGGCGCGACTTCCGTGGCAACGTCCATGTCAGAAATACTTTCCGGAATCCACTGCGAAAAGGTGGTCGGAATGCTCCACAAGCTTGCGTCTCCAAACCTTGCAGATATCATCCGTGCATGTTTCTTCGCCTCCGCCGCAACCGCTCCAGTCACCAAGCCGGCCAGCAGGAGCTGGCAGGCCATCTGGCCAAGTTGTGGAGCAACCTGTACCAACGTCTTCCAGGGTAGACCTCCTGGCACTCTCAAGAAAAAACCCGAAAGCCGAAACCCTTCACACAACTAAAACCCAAAGCCAGCGACAAGTCCTAAAACCCAAAGCCAGCGACAAGTCTTTGGAGCCACGGTCCTCGACGACTGTCATTGAACATTGTGTCCAGTGTAAACTTCTCCGGCTGGCCCAACGGCAAGCACATTACCTGAAGCAGAAGAAATGAAATCAAACGAACATGACTTCCTTCAATTGCAAGTTCAAAAAGAGATTGCAAGAGTCTGCTGTGATGTGCAAGCAGGGGGCAAAAAGGTGATCCTGCAACTCATCGCAAGAGAAAGTGCAGAAGCCGGTGCCAAGCAAGGGTCGAGGCAGAACTCTGACGTGGCTCTGACCCTGGCGAAGAAGCAAAAGCGCAGCCAAGGCCACAGGAAGAAACGGGCTCATGGCGTCATGGAGTGGTTCAGTGTCGAGAAGAAAAAAGGCTGCAGACAAACCAAGTAAGGCGGAAAAGCGCCCCAAAACATGACGGACATGCAAGAAGAAGAGTCCTGGAGAGTGAGGCCGTGCGAGCGCAGACGCCAAGCATCAGAGATGCGAGAGGACCAGCCAAGGACGAGATCCTCGGCAACCTCCATGACTACCCAGGATCTAAGGCCTAAGGAGAAGCACGGTGGACTGTCCTGGAAAGACAGAAGAGCCGAATTTGCAGCTCATGGTTTTGGAGCTTCAGGCTTGGGGCTTGCACAATGTCTTCTGTGGCCGAAAGAATGAGCTTAGGGAGCTTCAGGTTTCGGGCTATGGAAGGAGCTGCAGTTTAACCTTGAGGAGCTTGAAGTTTCGGGCTTGTACAAAGACTCTTGAGGAGCTTGAAGTTTCGGGAAGTTTCGGGCTTGTAGAAGGACGGTTAGGGAGTTTGATGTTGAGGAGAAGCGGGACCAGGTTTAGAATTACCCCCCCCCCCCCCCCCCCCCCCCCCCCCCTCCCCTCTCCCCCCCACCCCTCCCCAGAAGCAAGCGAACGCGCCCGGCGCGCAAGAGGCGCTGCCACCAAAAATGAGGCCTGGAGCGCCAATGATGCGCGGGTCAATGCGCCAGATAGTACCTGGAGTGCGAAGGAAGCACGGGTTGAGGTGCATATGGTGTCACGTTCCACGGGCGACTGCAACAATGGGGCGCAGGTCTCCGCAGCAGCTGATGATGGAGGTTCACAGGTGGACGCACTGGTGCAACCTGAAGTTAGCCGCGAGGAACGAAATGACAAGGGCTACACCGGAGCCGATGAGGCAGCTGTGGTCAATGATGGTGGCAATTCTCCTTTGGAAACCATGGAACCAAAGGAGCCTGCGGTGGAAGAAAGTGTGCCTGCCGTGGATGATCAACTCAATCGCCCTGCAGTGGAAGAAAAATTTGCCTGCTGCAGAAGGTGTGACAAAGGACTCCAATGATGGGTCCACTCCCATGAAGGGAGAAGTGTTGCCGTCTGGAAGTTCGCCGGAAGTCGACACCGAGCGAACTGCAGCAGATGAGGCAAAGCCTTTGGCGGAAAAAAAGGGAGGTCCTGAAATCCAGGAGCACAAAGGAGATGAGCCTGTGGGACTCGTGGAGCAGGACGAGCAGTGTGACCCAAAGGTGAAGACAAAGGATGCGCCAGGAGCCGATGATACAGAGATGGTTTCTGAAGAGCATGCAAAGAAAGTGCCCCGAGCGGGAGCCTTGGAATCACCTGGGAAACATTGCTATCAAGAGGGAGATGAGATCATGGGTCTAGTGCGCTGCATCAATGGGTATGGAGCCTTTTTGGACCATGGTGATGTGAATGTATTGGTTCCTGCAGAAGGGAACAATACATGTCAGTTCAGATTTGGTGATACTGTCAATGGAACAGTGAAACGAGTGGAAGATGATGGTACCATAATCTTGGACACCTTTCTGGTTTTGGAAGAGGACGTGGAGGACTCTTCTTCTACGCTGCGTAAATGGAAACCCAGCGACTGGAGTACGTGGTGGACGGATTCATGGTATGCTGGTCAATGGTACCAAGATTCCAACAGTCAATGGGACTGGAAACAGGAGGAAGAGCAACCCGATGAAGGGCTTGTGGTACAGGAGTTATCCTCAGAAGAACGAGAGGAAAGGCAACTTTATGGAGAAAAGATCTATAAAGCTCTTCTTGAGAATGGAAACGAAGATGAGGCCTATGTTGGAAAAATCACTGGGATGCTGTTGGGTCGCCCAAGGAGTGTGTTGCAGATCATGCATTCCTCAATGCGGAAGCTCGGCGCGCGTATGGCATCTTGCAAAATGATGGTTGGAAGCCTGATGGTACAGAAAGCACAGGCTTGGGAAAGTTAACCACTTTTTCCCGAAAACAGTACCACAACGCGCTTTTCGAACTGGCATGCAGAAAAAGGAGATTTACTCGACCAGTTGTGGGTGAAGCGGTGGCAACGGTGCTGAATCAAGGGGAAGATGAGTTTTGGAACGCGCTTTGGTTGGACACCAAGCTATTTTTGCAGGAGCTTGATGGTGCAGTGCAATCCATGAGCAAAAGGGAGAACAAGCCAATGGAAGCCTACATGGACCCTGACCAGTACAAAAAGGCTCACATGACTCCACAGACTGTGTCACCTGGATACAGCAAACTGTGCAAGTTCTTCAATAAGGGAAGGTGTCGCAATGGCGATGGGTGTCCCTATGAGCATCGTCGTTATGGTGAAGGTTGGCCAGAAGGGGGGTCAACTGATCCAAAGAACAGCCAAGAAGCTGATGATGAGGATGGGAACATCGGTGACCCTCCCACAGAGGAAGGTACAGTGGATGAGGCACAGCAGGAGCGGGAGGATTTAGCCTTCCGGGCCAAGTACAATTTTGGCAAAGGTGCATCAAAGGGTGAACCTACGTCGGGTGAGCCAAAAGGTCGTCTGTGTCTGTATTACAATCAAGGTGGTTGTAAATATGGGACTACATGCAGGTATCTTCACAACGATGACATAGCATTGGAAGGGACTTGGGAGCCCGGCAAATCTTGGGACAATGCTTCCAGGAAGGCACTAAGGGACGCAGGGTTCCACCATTGCTGTTTCGATTATTACCTCAGAGGACGTTGCCGGAAAGGATCAAATTTCTGCAAGTACTCCCACGACGAGATGTCAGATGAGCGGCTGACGCTCCTGAAACACTTGGTACAGGTGGCCAATCAGGTCCGGTTTGAAAAGGAGAGAGGATGGGAAATTTCGGACAGAAGCACTTTTCAGCCACCTGCGAGTGGGGGAGCTGAATCTTCCTCATCCTCGGCACCAAAAGCGCTGCAAATGACCAATGTGTCACAAAAAGAAGGTGAAAAAGGTATTCTGGATGAAGCAGAAGCTGATGAACAAAAGAATTCGGTGGCTGAATCCACTGGTACTCGGCTTCAAAATCCGGAGGAGCCAATTGAAAATTGGATGGCTCGCAACGAACACCTGTGGGTGTATACCCCTCATGTAAGTGAGGTGATGATTACACTTGGTGTGACCAATGTGTCGGACTTGCAAGAGTTCATCTTTGTGGAAGATTTGGTTGACAAAGGGATCAACAAAGTGACCGCATGCAAAATTCTGCAATTGGTTGGTGATGTCCGATATCGTCCGGGAGGACCGGAAAAAGCAGTTCCTTCTGATGCATCTGTACGGGTACAACAATCTTCTGGGAGCAAAGGAACTGGAAGAGCGGCGGTGCGAACCCTCACTCAGGTGCGTGAAGCTGAAGACTCCGGTGCAAAAACCATGCCGAGAGGCTCCTATCGGGAGCTTTTTGATAAGGTCAGGTACCGTGATGCTTGGACGCTTGCGCAGAGGTCTCCGCTGTGCGTACAGAAGCTGCAGTTGGTGGGAGTTGGAATGCCGCCGGTGAATCCGCCAACAAAAAAGTATCGGTCAAGATCAAACCCTGTGAGAAGGGGAAGGCCCTTGCTGGACAAAAAACAGGTGCGACAGGTGCCACGCTCTCGTCACAACGACGAGTGCAACCGGCGGAAGTGGTGGAAAAGCCGAAGCCACTGGAACTGAAGCCTCGTGGTGGGTTGTCGTATCGGTTCAGCAGAGCGTGGGCAGATGTGGTGGATGATGATGAACAGGCGGAGGCTTTGGTCTCGTATGCCGCTTCCTCAAGCGATTCAAGCGAGGAGGAGACCAATGCCGCACAACGCCTGAAGGAAATCTTCTTGCAAGAAAGGGATTCACAGAGAACTGCGATTCGTGGCAATGTTCC